CCCCAAAACCCCAAAACCCCAAAACCCCAAAACCCCGATAAACACAAAATTAGTTGAAATTTCATACAGTTTTAATGAATTCCTCTTTCATCAATAAAATTTGAATTATTTGTTCAGACATAGTTGCAGACAAAGATATTGGCATTTTATGAAGCAATGATCATTGCCTTTGTGTAGGTTGAGCCAAAGACTTTCTCAAAACAACAATTGCCTGAGGAGAAGAAATGTGTCCAGCTAAATGCTCAGTCTGTAAAACAGAGCTCGATTATAGACAAGTTGAAACATTGCTTGATGAAGACCAACACTGAGACTACTCTTTGCACTGCACTAAAGCTCTCATGGATAAAAGCAAGTATGAGGTAGTCTGCTGTCCATATTGCAGATATCATGAGATGTGGGATCTGGAATCAGAAGGCATCACTCTCTTCTGTGGGTATGAAAACTGTAAGAAAATCAGCTGCATTGTATGTTACAAAGAATATATGGTAAGAAATTTCTGAAAGGTTTAACTTTTGAGCTACTGATTAGTTGTTTTACTTATCAATAGCAAGTTTACGGTTCCATTTGAACTCCATTATTAGGAGTACCATTCTTCCACTTATTACCTTTTGAAAATTTAAGATAATTACCATTATATAGTTTGCCGATGACTCCTCAGGAGATTGAGAATCAGAGTCCCATGAGAAATGCTACAGACTTAAGAAGATCAAGAAGGACTGGGATCAGACAACTTATGAAGGATCTCAAAGATTTTGTCCCGATTGCAAGTATGGTGGGATTAAAGATAATGCCTGAACCCATATGAGCTGTCCCCAATGTAAGTCTGAATGGTGTTATGTCTGTGGGAAGAGTAGCAATATATGAGACAAATCTGATCCAGAAGGGAGTCTCTACAGCCATAATGAGGAGTGGGAGAGTAATGACAAGAGATGCCCAATGTATTTAAGTTTAATTGGAGGAGTTGATCAGAGATGGAGTACAAGAAATGACGCCGAAGCAAAACAATTTCTTCACAAAATCCTTATTTCCAAGGCAATCAGAGAATTTGAAGCAAGATACTCTCCAAATGAGCTGAAAGAGTTTTATGAAACATACTCAGAGATCTCCACTAATCAATACAATATTGTAGAAGCAAGGAAAATAGATCCGAGACTAATAATCAGAAAGCCAAAAGCTTCAAAAAATCGGGATAAATCTACATCAAAAGGGGAATGTATAATTTTCTAAAATTTCAACCTTAATATTCTTTAATGGGGTTTTGGGGTTTTGGGGTTTTGGGGTTTTGGGG